GTCCAGGATGCTAAAATACCTCATTTCAAATGAAAAAATCCAAAAAATTCCAAGTCAAAAAAAGTCGGTATTTTCGGTATCGGTATATACCGATGTTCGGTATTTTCGGTATTCGGTATACCGATACCGGTGCATACCTACTCAGTATAACGCACGTTTCAGTATCATCAACTTTACACGTGCAAAGGCCATAACGACACATTTTATTCAATAACGACCTATCACCGTATTTACAGTATCTTATGTAGCAAATGCTAATGACATTTTTTGTTTCTTAGTAACGATAATGTTGTGCCAAGTTTAACTCTTTTATAAGGCTGAACATTCGCGATGTTCATTGTCTTCGTATTCTTTATTCTCTGAACTGTCTTATGGTGGTCTCAACTTCCATCTGTACTTCTTCAGCTTCCAAATCGTACTTTCAGCTAATTAACACCACTACCGCAGCTGCATTATTCCTTTTTTTAGTTCTGCGCTTACATTCTTAATTAGCTTATACTTCAATCTGTTTTTGATATACAATTGAATTTCAGTATATCAAATTCTAGATCCCGTTGTATTTCATAATAAACTTTTATAAAATTGAATAGTTAAATAAATTTGACAAAACACGTCATAAAACGCCCTGTTATGTTCTTAGATATATTATGAAAGGTTTTTCTTGCATGATGAGTTTGTGACATCAGGTTTAGGCTAGTAAGAATTGCATTAGCCATTCAAATGCAAGGGCTTTCAGTCTGCTAGAAGGTCTCTTAACATCGGCGAGGATATGTCAAATGATTTGAAAAAGTGACTTCCTATCGCTCCGTTGACTGAAAGTGTAGAATTCTATGATGAAGATAGTTTACTTTATTGGGCCCAAGATTAAAGAACTATGGCAGATCAAGAGGGGACAATTATTTCGTCTGCCGTCTTGATGACTCGTTTTTAGAGATGTGCACGGGTGCCATTTTTTCGTACCCGATCCGCAACCAACTTAAGCCTAAACATTTTTTCCAGCTAAAAAATTAGCTGGAATAAAAAGTTTATTTTTCGGTTCAAGATGTCAAATTATCATTACATCGTCAGGTAATTCTTTTTTGAACCTTCATGTATTTTAGTTAAACTCCTGTATTTTTTCACTAAAATTTTGTAGGTTTCCACTAGAACCTTCCAGTTTTTGGGTAAACTGAAAAAATTAGAACCCGTACCCAACGTTTGGGTCGGGTCGGATACGAGTCGGGTTGCACATCTCTACTCGTTTTGTATGAGGATAAGCAACAAGAAAAATGTGTACTTGTAGTTACATTTTTAAGACGTTAAAGTCATTTCTTTTATGATCGTTTTGCTGTAGAGATAAGTAAATTTTGCTCTGTTGATGTATTTCACTTACGTGATGGCGTGTTAGAATAGTCTATTGGAATAAATTATACTTTTCTGATTGAGTATCGAAAAATAGTCAAAAATTCCCTCTTTTATTAGCTTAACTATTTTATAAAAATGCAGTAGGAAGCGGAAAAGTCTGCATTATCACTGATTTCAAATTCCTTTTTCTCTTCTAGGTATAACACGTGCTGAATTATTAGATGAAATTTTATTAGCAATTGCTGCTGGTTTCGAGACAACTTCGACCGCTTTGGCCTGGTTCATTTTCTACATGAGTAAACATCCACATGTTCAACAAGAAATTAAGCGCGAATTACGAGACAATGAGATAATATCCACCACTTATCTCACTCTTGATTTACTTGATAAATTAATCTATGTCGATTGTGTGATGAAAGAGGTACTGCGCATGGCACCCATTATCGATTGTACAATACGAACATTGTTAAAAGATGATGAGTTTAATGGTATAAAAGTGCACAAAGGTGATTCAATAATGATTGCAGTTCACAATGTTCATATGGATGAACGATATTGGAATGTAAATCCACATGAATTTCGACCTGAACGATTTATGAATGAAGATAAAAATTATAATCCGTATGCATTAGGCACATTTGGCGGTGGTTACCGAGCGTGCGCTGGACAAGATTTGGCAAGAGTAGAATTGAAAACGATAGTTACTCGACTCATGCAGTATGTAACATTTATTGATGGAGGAGAAGAGAAAAATAGTGGCGGGAAAGTACAAGGTCTAACGACTGTACCGAAACATATAGGCGTTTACATTCGATTTGATTGACAGTATAACTTATAGTAATCATCAAAGATTCTATTAGCAAATAGAGTGTTAGCATATTATCGATTTCTTAACTTAATATTTAGAAACGCTTTGTACGTTTATATAATAAAGTTTTGTCGAAATAATAGTACCTTTTATAAACGTCTAACTACTCCGAGACTCCGGATAAAGATATATTCAGTTTTATCCACGCTGCCTGTTCAAATGTATTTCTTTATTTAGGCTTAGGAAACAAGACTATCTTGCTTTCAAAGATTTTTAGGAAAAAGGTTTAAGAAATCAAGTATTTTCTCCTATTCTTCTTAAAATACTTTTATTGAATTTAATTTTTTGAAAATTCTCAAGTAGTATCGATCTGTCTTGAGGGAATTGGGAATTTCTGATTTTCTATGTAAGTAGTGTGATTTCAATTGTTTTCATATCTTTTGTGTTTGAACAAACTCTGCAATAGTATTTAAAATAAACTGCATTTGAAATAAATAGATTTACATCAGTTTCTTCAATTATAAGGTGCACGCAAAGCAAGGTTCGAGCAAAAATTTTTTTTTCGATGTTTCAGACACCATTCGATAGAGAATTTTACGGCGATCAAGAATATGTGTTCCCTGAAAATTTTCGATGCTTCTTTCTATC